CATCTGCCATTCAGTGCGCATTTTCAGACACTCCATAGCTGGCTAGTTAGCTAACTAGTTAGCTGGCTAGCTTGTCCATCTCCAGAGCTGACTAGTTATAGTCTATTTTTGTGCATATAGTCTTTGTCAGTAAAATGTCCTTTGTGGAGGTTGTTGGTGTTAAACTGTAACAAAGAACCAACCTCTTTATTTTAACAACTTGTGTGTTGCAGTGTTTCAGCCTGCAGCAGTGAAGGTCGACCAATCAGCTGCCTCCTCTCATCATTCTGCAGGTGAAGCACCTAAGGAGGCGGGGACCCAGGTGGTCATGGTGAAGGTGTACCCGGGTCTAAAGGGAGGGGCCAGTGAGATCAGAGTGGTACCTGCAGCTCCTGTTAGCTCCGCCCCCATTTCAGGTAATGGTGAAGATCAGCTTCTTAGGACAAAATCACAGATATTATTATTTTGAATAATTTCAGAGCTTAATAAACAAGTATTATTGGTGGAGAATAGTTTCTCTTATCCTCAGTTGCAACAGTGATGTTATTGTGGTCAGCCCAAAAACCAAATATTTCTGTTTACACAAACAGATGAAAGTAGATGATTCCACGTCAGTGACTACAGGACAATCTTAACCCTGAAAGGCTTTTACAACACAACGTCGCCCTGATTTACAAAGACGCAAATGGTGTGAATTTTGTGATTCCTCGTCTTTGCACTGACTTTGTATGTAATTGCTCTGTGCAATAAGATCTATGTTGTGACTCCTTTATGGGTCGTGACGTTTTGGGTTGAGAACCATGAACCAATGAATACAAGTTTCTGCCGGTCTGGTGTGTTTCAGACTCTCAGGTGAGCAGCTCTGTGGCCTCACCTGTAAATCTGGCTCCTAAAGGCTCCCAGCTTTTGATGCTTCAGGTCCCGGCTCCTCCCGGAAAACTTCCTCTGCCTCCTCCCCCCACCTCCTCCACCAGTCAGACGATGGTCCTGCAGCCAGTCCAGTCGAAGTCAGGTGTCCAGTACTACCGTAGACCAGACGGAAAACTGGTCCAACTGGTTCCCATCAGCCAGCTGAGATCAGTCAACCCGAACCTGTCTGCCCAGAGAGGTGAGTCTATGGGACCGACCTGTGGGCAAGGTTTAGGACCGACCTGTGGGCAAGGTTTAGGGCCGACCTGTGGGCAAGGTTTAGGGCCGACCTGTGGGCAAGGTTTAGGGCCGACCTGTGGGCAAGGTTTAGGGCCGACCTGTGGGCAAGGTTTAGGGCCGACGTGTCGGCAAGGTTTAGGGCCGACCAATTGACAACTTTCGGTATCAATCAGCAACGTTCACTCGGTTTCATTTTTTTCATGTTTAATGGTCTCCTTTCTCCTCCCTCCTTCTCTCTCTCCTCCTCCCCTCTGTGACTCCTCCCCCTCAGTCCTTCCTGCTGCATCCCTTCAGACTCCAGTTGGTAACCAAACTCCACCATCGACCACAGTGACCTCCATCCTCCCCTCCTCCTCCACCTCCTCCTCCTTCACCACCCCTCTCCACCCTGGTTTGTTGGCTCAGACGAGGACGTGCACCTTTAAGATCCTCCCCTCCGGCTCCAGCAGGGACCCGATCATCGTGACTTGTCCTAAAGTTCCCTCCAAGGCGATGTCTCCCGGCTCCTTCACCCTCCTCCAGTCTCAGCCTCCTCCTGTCTCACTCTCCTCCAGTCTCACCCTCCTCCAGTCTCCTCATCCTGCCCCCCCGATGAGCCTCATCTCCCTCAAACCCTCCACAGGTGGGGGGGCCGAGCTCGGGGTCAAAATGGTGAAGGTGTCTCCGGCCCCGGCGGGTCCCGTTGGGGTGTTAGTCCAGAACCCAATAGGAACCAGACCCTCACCCGTCCCCTCACCGGAGCCGGCCAGCGACCTGGTGGATCTGGACATCGTTTGTGTGGACAACGAGGCGGAGCTCGTTACCATGGAGAGGGGGGGCGGGGCCAAATATATGCTGGATGGGGAGGGGCCAGAGGGGGAGGGGCGGAGCAGTGAGACGGACAACTCGTCAGATTTTGGGGACGAGTTGGACAGTGAAGAGACGAAGCAGCCGAACGTCAAGACGCACGTAAGAGGAGGATAAACAGATGTTCTTTGTGTTACAGATGTTCTCTGTGTGACAGTCACAGATGTTCTCTGTGTGTGTTACAGATGTTCTCTCTGTGTTCTACAGGCGTTCTCTCTGTGTTCTACAGGCGTTCTCTCTGTGTTCTACAGACGTTCTCTCTGTGTTCTACAGGCGTTCTCTCTGTGTTCTACAGACGTTCTCTCTGTGTTCTACAGACATTCTCTCTGTGTTCTACAGACATTCTCTCTGTGTTCTACAGACGTTCTCTCTGGTTCTACAGACGTTCTCTGTGTGTTTTACAGACGTTCTCTCTGTGTGTTTTACAGACGTTCTCTCTGTGTGTTTTACAGACGTTCTCTCTGTGTGTTTTACAGACGTTCTCTCTGTGTGTTACAGACGTTCTCTGGTTCTACAGGCGTTCTCTCTGTGTTCTACAGGCGTTCTCTCTGTGTTCTACAGACGTTCTCTCTGTGTTCTACAGGCGTTCTCTCTGTGTTCTACAGGCGTTCTCTCTGTGTTCTACAGACGTTCTCTGTGTGTTTTACAGACGTTCTCTCTGTGTGCTACAGACGTTCTCTCTGTGTTCTACAGACGTTCTCTCTGTGTTCTACAGACGTTCTCTCTGTGTTCTACAGGCGTTCTCTCTGTGTTCTACAGGCGTTCTCTCTGTGTTCTACAGGCGTTCTCTGTGTGTTCTACAGACGTTCTCTGTGTGTTTTACAGACGTTCTCTGTGTGTTTTACAGACGTTCTCTGTGTGTTTTACAGACGTTCTCTCTGTGTGTTACAGACGTTCTCTCTGTGTGTTACAGACGTTCTCTCTGGTTCTACAGACGTTCTCTTCGTGTTCTACAGATGTTCTACAGATGTTCTTGTTTCTTTGTGTGCAGCGTCACCTCCTCAACGCGTTGGAGAAGAGCCGTCGGGTGACGCATCATCAGCTGTTCAAAGGTCTGAGGAGAGAAGTCGGTCTGAGTGAAGAGACGTCGAAGGTCTTCACGCTGAAGAAGGTTCTACTGGTTTACATTCAGGTTCCTCACAGACTTCACGGCTCAGACTCCATTCTCACTTATCGGTTGTTGTGTTTCAGGCGGTTCAGGTGATCCATCAGCTGAGGACCACCGACTCAGATCTAGAGAAGAAGAAGAGGAGGTTGAAGAAGAGGAGGGACGAGTTCCTCACCTTCATCGCTCCATCATCGGGTACAAACACTGAAGATCTGATCAATATCCTGACTCGCACTCAGCAGGAAAAGGATAGTTTTATTAGATTTCTATTAAATACATGAGAAGAGAATGACAACTAGAACTAAGTAGAAACTAAGAATCAGCTGATCGCCTCATTGAACTAATCAATGAGTGACTGAAGCTGAGCTTCTGTAAATATATTTTATTTAAATTCACCTCATCATATTTACTTTGTTTTCTGATCTCAGCTTGTTTACCGTTAAAACAAACTCAACACTTCCTGTTTGTTTCAAATTAAAAGCCCTGCTGAATTTCAGTGGGACAGGAAGTGTTTCTTCTGTACTAGAGCACAGGTGGAGCTGAGAGAAGATGTTTCTTATTGTCTGAAAGTCTCAGAGTTTCACTTTAACACTCGAATCCTTTACCTGAAGAACATTAGTGATCAGACGGACGTTCTGAATCAATCAGGGACAGATGATGATAAAACAGATGATAGCATTGGTATCGATGTCTTCTGTCTTCAGAGAGATCAGCTGAGCCGTCAGAAGGAGGCAGGACAGGAAGCAGAGACCTGATGGAGGATCTGTTCGACTCGGACGAACCGATGGAGGACTTGTCTGACGAGACCGTTGTTACCACGGCGACCAACGTACGAAACTCAGACTTATATTTATTGATGTTTATTTTTATCTAATTATTTAACTGTTTTCTATAGTCGCATTATGAAATAAATGAAGATGTAAAATAAGAACGATAAGACGGTTATTAAGACAAAGACGTATTGATGCATAAATCTGATGACATTTCATAATTAAATAAATAAAATAAATAAATAAAAGAGTTAGAAATAGTTTTGATATCAGTTCGACGTGTTGTCAGGTGGAGGAGAGCGGTCGGCTGAATGCGGCTCAGAGGAGGCTGAAGAGGATCATGAGGAACATGAGGAACGTGGACTCGGAGTGAGAACCTGGTTTATGTTTATCAGTTGTCATTCAGACACTTTAAGAACATTAAATACTTCTCTTTGTGAGTGAACCACCTCAGTGAAAACACCAACAAATACAGATAAATAAAAGATAAAAACATGTCAGCTAAGCCACGAGGAGCTGAGATCACTTTTATCGAAGCTTTTTGAGAATAAACAGTTTGTTTTCTGTCGACAGCTGTTTGAGGGTGAAGGAGCTGGTCGGAGCTCTGAGCCTCACGAAGGCCTTCAGAGGTCTACGTTCAGTCATGAAGACCAGAGGCTCGTCAAAGAGACTCCTGCTGGACCAGGTACCAGATAGAAACCTCTTCTCTTCTTCGCTTCACTCTTATATTCTATTGAAGCTCATATCTACGTATAAATCTATAGATCTATATAGATCCGATAGACTACTCTCTGATTACACGTGAACTCATGCATCTTGGAAGCGGTGCAGAAGTGTAACTGTAGTTGTTGTGCTTCAGGCCCGTCAGGAGATCCAGACTCTGCAGAGTGAGTCGGCGACACTGAAGAGTATGAAGATCTGTCTGAACCAGCAGAGAGACGCCTTCATCAGAGACATCTCCCTCCGATCAGGTGAGGACGTGAACGCTGAATATAGTTCAAACAATCACACTGTTGACAAAAAGAGAGACAAGAAGTATAGTTTTATGTTTTTCTACTAGCAACAGAGAGTAAAAGGAGCTGCAGTTTATAACAACACATAAGATATTAAAACATATTTAAATATTTTAAAATACTACTCCAGTTCTAATAAACATGTTTGTGGCTGCAGGTAAAAGTCAGCAGAGAATCCTTGTGGAGCTGCAGCACCAGTCTACCAAACAGAGGGAGACGGAGAAGCGTAAGAGAAACCGAACAGCCAATCAGCTGCCAGCAGCAGCAGCAAGGGGCGGGGCCTCAGATCCTCCAGCACCCTCCGGCCTGCAGCAGCGAGCTCCACAGGCTCCTCCCACCGCCAAACGTGTTCATCAGCCTCAGAGCGTCCTGCACCTGGCTCCTCCTGGTGTATTCCACAATGCATCAGTGGTGAGGGACAGGCCGAGGACGGTCCCCAACATCCTGTCTCGCAGTAGAACTCCAGCTGCATCGTCATCTTTTAAGGCTATGTTACCGGGGGAGATTCTGTCGCTGGTCCGTGCTGCGTTGCCGGGGCAACAACTCCTGGCCATGAGCCCGTTGATGGCGTCTCCTTCACCAGGTACCGACCAATCCCAGCACTCTGTTCTCTGCCTCAATATGCTTTTATTTTGTAGTAAGACATGTCTTTTTCCTGTCTGTAGGCATGACCACAGTCACCCTCAACCTCCCCAATCTGACCAACCAGCAGATCAGCTCCGCTCCCTTAACCTTCACGAACCTCACAGGTAACTCGACTAACTAACCAACTAATTAACCTCACGGATAACTCAATTTACTAACAACCTCACAGGTAACTCCACTAACTAACCTCACGGGTAACTCAACTTACTAACCAACTAACTAACCTCACAGGAAACTCAACTTACTAACAGACCAACTAACCTCAGAGGGTAACTAAACAACTAACTAACCTCACAGGTAACTCGACTAACTAACCAACTAATTAACCTCACGGGTAACTCAATTTACTAACAACCTCACAGGTAACTCCACTAACTAACCTCACGGGTAACTCAACTTACTAACCAACTAACAACCTCACAGGTAACTCCACTAACATACTAACTAACTTCCTGAGTGACTTTACTGTAGTTAGTTAATTAATAACTAGCTCACTATCGACTAAAAATCAACTCTTTAAAGGTCATTTAGGTAAAAATTGTCCATCCTGATGTCAGCTGATCTTTTTTTGTTTACAGCTGCAAACTTCAACAACCTGCTGCAGCTGGTTCAACCATCAAGTACACAACAGATGCTACAAGCACCCCAAAAAATACTACAAGCACCACAAAGAAAATTTCAACTACCACAACAAATACTACCACCACCACAGCAAAAAATACTACCAGTACCACAACAGCTACTACAACCACCACAACAGATAATACCTCCACCTCCCCAGCAGCAGCAGCAGCTCCCAACTAGTCCATCCCTGCTCGTCTCTGCTGGCTCTGACTTCTCCTCAGACCAGATCAAAGACCAGGACCGGCCTGAGTCCTCTTTGCCGGCTCCACCCTCCACTCAGGGGGGCCCAGGTCCGAGGGCTGATGGCCGGGTAGCAGTGGGGGAGCCTCTGGGTGAGGACGAGAGTCTGACCTCCCTCCTCAACGAGATCGTCTTCCTTAATCAGCAGACTGTCCCCTTGTCATCGGAGAACCCCTCCTCTGAGGAAGCGGCGGTGGGCGGAGCCACGGAGCAGGGACACGCCCACAGCCCCTGGCTCCTGGAACTGGACTCGGACTCTGACGACCTAATTGAGACGACGTGGGGCGGGAGGCAGCTCGGACTCGCCAACGAGAATGCTAATACCCTGGCTCCGCCCCCTCTGCTTCAGATGCAGGTGGGCGGGGCTAAGGTGGCAGACCCCCCCAGCAGCGATAGAGCAGCAGGGGGGGAAGACGAAGGAGGAGGAGGCGGAAGTAGGAGGGAGGGGTGCGTGGCCTGGAGGCCGATGCCGAGGCTGGTTCCTCTGGGACTGAGAGGAAACGCCCCCAGCTGACATCACACGGATCAGCTGACATCACTCTGATGATGTCACAGCAGAGATAGGACCTCATGGGTCATCTGCAGACTGTTTTCTGATTGGCTGTTAGAGTTCTGTTTGATTTCAGCAACAGTTTGTCTTTTTTTTTTTTCTAGTAAAACAGAAACACCTGAGGGCCAATCAGAAACCCGCTGTTACCCTGACGATGATTCAGAACGTTTCATTGGTCGTTTACAGACGAACACAGATTTTATTTATTTTTGTCCTTAAAGATTCAGGTGACGCTGCAGCGACGTGCCACTTTTAGGAGAAAAGTTGATGAGGAACAGTTTCCATGTAAGTTGCTCGTTGGTCTCATTGGAAGATTGTTGCCGGAAGAAATTTGTCCACGTTTTTTTTTTAATGGTTGCAGCAACGTGAATCAGACAACTGTCGATGTATTGAGAGGATGTCTGTCTGTCTGTCTCCTTTAAACTGCTGCTTTCAATTAGTTCATTTTTGTTTACTTTGAGAATCAGGATCACTGAGAACAAAGAAAAAAGATTTAGACGTAAATAACCACAATATTTGCACAATGTTACGAGTGTGTGTGGGTGTGTGTGTGTGTGTGTGTGTGTGTGTGTGTGTGTGTGTGGATTCACATTAAACTGATATCAGTTTTGAAACAGGAAGTAGAAACATATGAGTCAGCTCATATTCAGAGTAAATAATAAATACAAACCGTCTGAAAGCTGCTGTATGAATGTTAAACGGTGTGAAGTTCAGCAGTCCTGGACTCAGCTGGTTTCAGCTGGACCTGCTCAGTGTTCACAGGACATAACGGATCGGATGAAGCTGCTACTCTTCGTCTTCATGTTTGTACAGTTTCTTCTTGTTTTTCCTAAATTTGTATTTTTGTATGTATTAAAGGACTCTGATGTAAATACATGTTGTTGCATCATAACTCTAATATTCTGTAAATAAAGTTTAAATATCAACATCTGACTCACATTTGATTTTTTTTTTCAAAAAGATTCAGACAGAATGGTTTTAATCTTACATTTACCGGATAGACCCTGAACGCATCATCCTAATTTATTGTAGTAATTTAAATATCAGATGTAGTTCGTGAGTCTTCCGCTGGAGGCGCTGCTGCTCCACACTGCGTCAATGTACGTCAGACACGACACCTGAAGTCTAGGGGCTTTATCATCAAAATAAAAGCACAGCAGTGTCGTTTTTGTTCTTGTATGTGAAAAGTACTGGAGTCAAAGTAATACCACATAATACTGTGATAGTGTAGTTAGTCCTTTATATCATTTCATATATTCCCTGTGACAGAAAGATCTTAATAAAAAAATATAAAGAAAGAAACTGAAGAACTAATTTTCATAACCGATCAGCCAGATTTATTTTGAAAAGCCTGGCCGGAAGTGTTTGTGTCGTTGCCGCATGCGGTCTTGAAGCTCGGCTCAGTCCGTTCTGGCTCGTGTAGAAGCCGCTTCTTCGTGTCTCCGCAGCGGCGGAGGAATAAGATGCGGAACCAGAACCAGAGACCGGATCAGACCAGAACCAAAGACCGGATATCAGAACCCTCCTCCGGTCCCGCACAGCTCGGCCCGCAGATAGCATGACAGCAGCGGCGGCGGAGGAGCGAGCGACAGACAGGAGGTCCAGCTGAGAGAGGACGCTAGCGGCACAGCTAACAGCGCGATGACCGCGGAGGGAGGCGGAACCATCCGGAGGAGAATCAAGAACCTGTCAATCAAACTGAGGAGGAGGAGCGGCACCGCGCGGCACAAAGAAGACCTGAGCGGCAAGGTGGGCTCAGCGCGCGCGCACACACACACACGCACACACAGAGACGGATACAGACACACATATACACGCACACACAGACAAACACACACATAGTTAGTCTGGTTAATATGGTTTGTCTGGTTAGTCTGAGTCTTGTTAGTCGGGTTAGTCTAGTAAATCTGGTTAGTTTTTTTAATCTAGTTAGTCTGGTTAGTCTAATTCAGAGGTCTTCAACAGAGGGTCCACGGCCCCTGAGGTACTGCAGGTTTTTTTCTTCTTTTTTTTCTCTAAACATGACATGATCTGATTCTGATGTGTCGATTATGTTAATAGTTCAGTATTGTATGCAAGATAACAGGTATCTTTATGCATGCAGTGGCACTAATAGGCCATCACTCATTTTCGTTTCCACATTCATGTTTAAAATGAATAAAATGAAAACATCAGTGAGAATAGCTTGTATGATGATTATCATGCAATTGACAGACAATGTTGATATTGGCATTGGTATCAGCTGACAAGGTGTGTTTATAAATGTCAGTGGCACAGCCTCCCTACTCACTGTACCTTGCACATGTTTAAAATAACATGAATATATGAACCTGTGTGTTATTTGAATAGCTTAGTATTGAATGCACAATAAAGAGGTATGTTTATACACGGTACTAGGCCCATTTATAGTTGGGGGTCCCTGCTCCATCTCTCTATCAGTTTGGGGGTCCTTGGCCTGAAAAATGTTGAAGAGCCCTGGTCTAGTTAATATGGTTAGTCTAATTAGTCTGGTTAGTCTAGTTAATATGGTTAGTCTGGTTAATGCACTTACACACACACACACAGTTAGCTGTTGTTAGTTTAGCATCGGGCTGCACAGGACTTCACCAAACCACAGGGGCTTCCCGCTGATTACATGCTAACATGCTAACAGCTACTTTGATGACGTCTAATCTTACTGACCTCCAGGTGACCTTGGAGAAGGTTCTGGGAATCACAGCTCCAGGAAACCGAGCGTTGGCCTGCGACCCCCAAACCGGCCTGTTGGCTTATCCTGCTGGGTGAGTGTGAGTGAGAGTTAATGGTCGTATGATGTGACGATATATACTTTGTTTGGTTTCTGCAGTGTTGTCTGAGAAGTTGAAGTGAAGTGTAAACATTGAAAATGAAAGGCTAAAGTGGCTCTCAGTGAAATGACCAGTGAAAGTAGTGTAAGTGTTAAGTTGAGCGTGTAAACGTTGACAGGAGTTGAAATATCAGTTGAGATGTAAACACTATAATGAGCTACACCAAACTGAAAGGAGTTGAAGTGTCAGTTAAAAAGAGGTACTGGCAGTATACGCACTGAAAGAGTAGACAAGAGTGACAAGTGTTGTCAGTGAAAGGACTTAGTGTTGAATGAAGTGTAAGCATATTAGTTTAGATGTAAACACTGAAACTAAAAGGAGTTGAGGCATCAATTAATAAAAGATAGTAGAAAGGATATAAAGTGTCAGTGAAAGTGTAACGACTGGAGTTGAAGTGTACGCACCGAAAGAGTCACCATTTACATCAGTGAAAGGACTTGAAGTGTTGAATGAAGTGTAAACGTATCAGTTGAGATGTAAACACTGAAACTAAAAGGAGTTGAGGTGAAGAACACGAGTGTAACTGAAGTGTTGTATAAATACTGTTGTCCTGCATGTTTAGAGGATTAAACTCTCACAAACTGACCGTCTGTGGTTCTGTGTCTCATGTTCTGAGTTTTAAAGGCTAACGACATGATCAGATTATCGGATTAAGAATCATGTGTTTAACGAAGCGACACACACACACAGCGTGTCATTAGGAGCCGTGGTCTTGATATTCACCACGAGACTCCGGTCTGCTGTAGGATTTACCCTTCAGCAAGGCACTGAACCCACAACCAGTAACCACCTGGAGCACTCTGCAGACCACAGAGGCCTCGTTCAGACCGTCGGCTCAAAGATGCCTTTTAAAGAAAATATCCAGATTGAGTTTACAAAGTCTGGACGGAAGAACACAAGATGCTATTTTTGCTAATCAAATCCAAACCACATCCGCAGGTGGTTTGAAATTTGACTCCAATCAGATTTCTACAGGCTTCAGGTCGATCAAATCAGATTTAATTATTTTTGAAAAGGTGTTATAGGGGGTCCCAGGGGGTCCCAGTGTTTTTGGGGGCAGTTCTTGAGAGGTTTCTAAAGACTTTTAGAGAACTTCAGGGACCTGTGACAGTGTTTCAGGATTCCACAAGGTTTCAGGGGTCTTTAAGGGTGTTTCAAGGGTTCCTGAGGGGTTCTAGGAGTTCTTGAGGGGTTATAAAGGATTTTTTTTTTAAGTTCTGGGAGTCTGTTTGGGTATTTCAGGTTGTTTTAGACAGGTTTGAAAGGTACAAGGAGTAACACCATGGGTTCTCCGAGAGGTTTCAAGCAACGTTTAGTGGGTCTCAAGGATTCTTGAGGGGTTCCAAGAGTTTTTAAGGGGGTGACAGCGGTGCGGAGGTTTCTGGTTCTTAAGGAGTTTCAATGGGTCACATATGCAGGTCTGAAGGGATTCCAAGAGTTTTAAAGGTGATTCTTTTTTTATATTATTGTGATGTAGGGCAGAGGTCCCCAACCTTTTTTGCACCACGGACCGGTTTCATGTAAGACAATATTTTCACGGACCGGCCTTCAAGGTGTGGCGGAAAAACACGACGAAATAAAATGATACGATCGGCATGAAAACAAATATAAAATGCATAAATAAATACAACTCACAATAACGCTGAATCAGTGGGAGCCCTGAGCTTGTTTCTCTGCAACGAGACGGTCCCATCTGGGGTAATGGGAGATAATGACACCCGAAGTCTGTTCCTTATGTCCAGTCTACTTTTGTTTTGTTTTGATTGCCGTCACTGCAGAACATCCCGCTTCACAAAGAGGATGTGTGAAATGGAAGCAGGGTTTTCAGTGCTTTAGTGGCGATCTCAGGATATTCAGCCTTGATTTTAATCCAAACACCAGCAGAGTTGTTGTCTCAAACATACTTTTAAGGCCACCGTCATTTACAACCTCCAGCAGCTGATCCTTTGTCGCCACATATTCTGCAGAGCGGGTTTGTCGCGTCAGAATTACTCCTGATATTTAATCAGACTTCTGATATTGTCTGTTAAATTAAGCTTTAATTTTATTGGAAGTTGTAGCTCTTCTTCTGTCTCCTTAGTGGCCTTTTCCCCTTTGCAAAGAAGCTCTCCAAAAGTTATTTACTCATTTTCGCTAGTTTGCAGGCTTAACTTTTGAGGTAACGAATCATGTGACCGAGACAAGCGTCTTGACATGTGTCAAGAGGAACAGGCGGATGAAATTGCGAGAGAATCCGGTCATTTTTCAAAATAAAACTTCTTTCAGACTCTGATAATCAATAAAACGGAAATAATATAATATTTATTCTTTCTGTGCGGCCCGGTACCAAATGATCCACGGCCCGGTGGGGACCACTGATGTAGGGGGTCCCAGTGGTTCCAAAGTAATAATAATCAATCCCTTATTAGTCCCGCAGTGGGGACATTTATTCTCTGCATTTAACCCATCCCTAGTATATAGGGAGCTGAGAAGTTCCCAGGGAGCAGTTAGGGGTTCAGTGTCTTGCTCAGGGACACTTCGCCACAGGACTCATGGTAGCCAAGGATCGAACCACCAACCTTGCAGTTAGTGGACAACCCTCTCTACCCCATGCACCACGGTCGCATGGGGTAGAGAGAGTTTAAGAGGGCTCCAGGGACCTGGGAGTATTCACAAGGATTCAGGGGTCTTTAAGGGTGTTTTAAGGATTCTAGGTTGAAGGTCTCAGGTGTTTATGGGTTTTCTAAAATAATCCTGTTGGATCCACCAAAGGAGTCAGTCAACAATAAAGGATTTATCTCTGTGGAGTTTGTGTGTGAGCATGAGGTGTTTGTTACGTCGTTCTAGTGAAAGTGTGTGAAGGTTCATTCCAAATGTCACCAATCAGCAGAAACCAATAGACCCGGATAGACCAGATCACAGGACTGTTTGAATCCTAAACAGACTGGTTCTTCTGGTAGATGTTTGTTTCGTACACATGAAGGAGGAGAGGAGTTTCACTCCTCTGTAGATCTGGTTTTATCAATAAGGGCGCCTAATCGATAAAGGTGGATCAGTAGAAAGCTGATCAGATAATCAGGACCCTGGAGCGTCCTTCACTTTAACAAAGATCAGACTGTTTGTGACTGCAGGAGCTTTGGCAAACAGGAAGTGTTGCCGTTGGTAACCGCTAACTCTCCCCGACATCACAGCTCCGAGTTTGGAAACTCACACTGACGATAGAAATGTGATCCGTCACGCAGCTCCATGAGGTGTTCATCCATCCATTCATCCATTTTCCTCTGCTTATCCGGGGTCGGGTCATGGTGGCAGCAGGCCAAGCAGGCTGACCCAGACTTCTCTCTCACCGGCAACATGTTCCAGCTCATTCTGGGGATCCCGAGGCGTTCCCAGACCAGCTGGGATATGTAATCCCTCCAGTGTGTTCTGGGTCTTCCCCGGGGTCTCTTCCCAGTTGGACGTGCCTGGAAAACCTCCAGTGGGAGGCGTCCAGGAGGCATCCTAATTAGATGCCCGAACTGCCTCAGCTGACTCCTTTCGACGCGAAGGAGTAGTGGCTCGACTCCAAGCTCCATCCTGATGACCGAGCTCCTTACCCTATCTCTAAGGCTGGAAGCTCATTTCGGCCGCTTGTAGCCACGACCTTGTCCTTTCGGTCACGACCCAGAGTTCGTGACCATATGTGAGGGTAGGAACGTAGACCGACTGGTAAATTGAGAGCTTTGCCTTCCGGCTCAGCTCCCTCTTCACCAAGACGGTCCGGTGCAGCACCTGCTTTACTGCTGTAGCCGCACCGATCCACCTGTCGATCTCCCGCTCCATCTTACCCTCACTCGTGAACAAGACCCCGAGATACTTAAACTCCTTCGCTTGAGGTAGGCACTCCGTCCCCACCTGGAGGGAGCAATCCACCAGTTTCCGGCAGAGCACCATGGCCTCAGATTTGGAGGTGCTAACTCTCATCCCCGCCGCTTCACACTCTGCTGCAAACCGCCCCAGTGAATGCTGGAGGTCACGATCCGAGGAGGCTAACAGGACCACATCATCTGCAAACAGCAGAGAGGCGATCCCGAGACCCCTGAACCTGACGTTCTCCACCCCCAGGCTGCGCCTAGATATCCTGTCCATGAAAGTCACGAACAGGACCGGTGACAAAGGGCAGCCCTGGCGGAGGCCAACACCCACCGGGAACGTGTCTGACTTATTGCCGAGAATGCGGACACAGCTCCTACTGCAGTCGTACAGAGACCGGATCGCCCGTTGTAATGGGTCCGGCACCCCATACTCCCGCAGCACCCCCCACAAGAACCCCCGAGGGACCCGGTCGAAAGCCTTCTCCAAGTCCACAAAGCACATGTAGACTGGTTGGGCAAACTCCCAGAACCCCTCCAGTAGTCTTGCGAGGGTAAAGAGCTGGTCCACTGTTCCACGGCCGGGACGGAATCCGCATTGCTCCTCTTGGATCTAAGGTTCAACAAACGGTCGGAGCCTCCTTTCCAGCACCCTGGCATAAGCCTTCCCCGGGAGGCTGAGTAGTGTGATACCCCGGTAATTCGAGCACACTCTCCGGTCCCCCTTTTTGAAGATGGGAACCACCACCCCGGTCTGCCAGTTCATGGGCACTGATCCCGACCCCCATGCGACATTGAAGAGGCGTGTCAGCCAGGACAGCCCAACCATGTCCAGCACTTTCAGCATCTCACGGCGGATCTCATCCACCCCTGGCGCCTTGCCACCAAGGAGCTTTTTCACTACCTCAGCGGCCTCTGCCAGGGATATGGATGAGCCTCCCCCTAGATCTTCAGGTGCTGCCTCCTCTACAGAGGACATGTTGGTTGGGTTTAGGAGTTCGTCAAAGTGCTCTTTCCACCGCCCGACGATGTCCCCTGTCCGGGTCAGCAGTTCCCCCCCCCCTGCTGAGAACAGCCTGGGGTAAGCCCTGCTTTCCCTTCCTG